GCTGCTTAGACCTGACTATTAAGAAAAGATTAAATCACACATAGCCCTTCCCTTCTACGATCTTCCTCCCAAAACTCCTCCATCTCATGCACCAAAGTTTAATTAAATGATCTTAGTAAATATTGAAATATCATTATCAAACTTGCTAAGTAGCAAAAATTAATCTAAAAGATGATGTCAACCAAAAATTATTTTTATCAGATTTCCTTTAAACAGTTGTGACCTCCTCACAAAATGGTTGACGAATATTAGCACAGATAATTTTGAACCTATTACAAACCACAGGGAATGTAGTGAGCACTTCCTCAAGGAGGATTATGTCCGAGGTAAGTTTACAATATACTACATACTTATAATCATGACGATTCATTAGCCATTTCACAGTTATGAAGGTGTTACTTTAATTTTAATATTTCATTTACAATATAATTGTTATTAGTGTTTTAGGCATATATCCTTGGGATGATGTCAGGGTAAGGTTCATATACCTTCCGAACCAAATATAAGATGAAATAAATCATATAATCCACATTAATTGTTTACTCTGTATATATATTATGTGAAAGTATATACACTTATGACTATATGTGAAACATCATGATGGGACATAGATTAACAATTCTTTGACTTTTCCACCATCTTTGCAATTTCTTCATGCAGAATTTTTAACTGTAAAGACTTTACTTCCTTTACCATTTTCCTAAAAATATTTGATTTCGCCGAATCAGTCATGTTCCCTTTCATTTTCCGTGTCTTTTCATTCAGTTCAGCCGTTTCTCTCTCTCTCTGTTAGACGAGGTATTGTATATGTTTCTATCTATCAATGTGGGTGGCAGTGAGCAGTTCCTTCTGTAAGGGAACTTCTAGAATAATTCCGACTGACTGTACATAATCATAGATTAAACGCTGACCAACAAGGGAGTCATCCTTCATTCACAGAAAAGCCACTTTCAACAGTTACTTGGTATCAGAAAGTATTAAAATGAGTTTGACGGTATGCCATAAGGACTCATAATCCGTAGCTTGGCCCATGTGTTTGAGAAAAAATCAGTCAAGCCTGTCCTTGAAGATGCAGAAATTTGTCTTCAAACCTGAGATAAAAACAAGTCATACTGTCTGATTAAGTGATCATATTCTTCTGCTTTGAGATGTTTCAATTTGACAAAATTGGATGGTACTATCCATTGCATTTGAGGACATTTTTAGAGGAGAAAAACAGGCGACATTGTGAGTGAATGAATATTTCAACAAACACGTCACAAGCAATTTCTCAATTAAACAGATCAAAAGAGATAAACGCTCATTGTGAAATGTAAGCTTATCTCTTGAAGTTGCCTTCTCTGTGGCAATCAATACTCTCATGTTTTCCCTATTGCTTAAGTCAATTTTCAACAATTTAAATGCAGTGTCTGCTTTCGATAGCACATCGTGTTTTACAACCCTTCTCAGAAGGTTTCTGATCATAGACTCAAGATCACAGTTGACAAAAGGCAGTACAAGGTGAGCAGTCTGATATTTCGTCAGAAATGGAGAGATTTCTTCAGATATTGAAACATAACATGATAACTTTGTTATGGAATATTATCATTTATTGTAGTTTTCAAAGCATTAAATGCTTGACTTTTTGGTACTGTGTAAGTTTGAGTTCAGTTGCTCTTTGTGCAACAGATGCATTCTCTACCCATCAGGTAGAACAAAATTTCAGTGCATACAGATGAGACCCAATAATTTTCTCAAAATCTTCTCATCTGGCTTGGGAATCTTTGAAAAGGTGGTACATTGATATAAGTATTGATTTTAAATCTCTATCAGAGGAAATTGAGAGCATTGTGAGGATCCCCATGGACAGTATGGAGACCACAATACTCAATGTTGATTAAAGACGTGTCCAAGTTTGAAGTTTTTAACTATGATTCTAATTACTCATGAAGTGACCAGTTAACATTTGGACCATCCATCCCTATTTGCAAAAGATGACTAAGATTAAGCCCTTTTGTCAACTGTAAGAGATCAATAGCCTAGGAGTAGTATTATTAGGTCGTCAAGAAATTAATGTTGCTTTTATAGATAAAAAAAAAACCCGAACAACATATATATATATCAAAACAAAACATTTATAAAACCAAACAGTCTCCATTCTTAACGATGTTGCTTTTCCTTCATACAATCAGTTTGTTGATTCCCTCACTAAAGATATCA